TTACATGTTTACTGATTGAAGTGAGAATAAGTTAAGACATCCTCTACAGAGAACACAATTCTGCACTTTTAATGCATAATTACAGCCGAAAATAACATACTGTAAAAAAAGTGCAAAGATTATATCAAATTTGATTTTTTTCAATATGTTAAACTCAGCAAGCAAATGCAAACTGTGCATTAAAATTTGCAGAAATATGCAGTAGGTTAGTAAGTTCTCTGTAGAAGATGTTATTTTTGCTTACAAAATCAACAAAACTCAGACTCTTAGACTCGGCTCACGACCCAGAAAAGTGGGACTCAAGACTTGACTCTGACTCGAATCACAGACATTCGAGACTTGACTTGGACTTGCACCCCGGAGGCTTGAGACACAGTGTGAACTAGTGTCCATGCCATGCTGCTAGTGTCCTTCTATCTCTCTTTCTCTCTCCCTACTCTCTCTCTCACTTCCCCCGAAAAGCAAATTTAGATCAAGACTCGACTTGGATGAGACTCACACCTTACAGACTCGAGACTCGACTGGGACTCTTGCTTCAGTGACTCGACTGGGACTCACACCTCAGAGATTTAAGACTCTTCTTAGACTTACACCCTGGAGACTCGGGACTCGACTCGGACTCAAACCCCAGTGACTAAAGACTCGACTCGCCTTGGACTCACAACCCAGAGACTTGAAAACTCAAGAATCACCTTAGACTTGAATCCCAGAGATTCAAGACTTGACTTGGAGTCTCACCCCAAGACTCGACTGGGACTCTCACTTTAGAGAATCTGACTAGGACTCGCACCTCAGAGACTTGGAACTCAACTCAGACTCGCACTTCAGTGACTCAAGACTCAACCCAGACCCCAGAGACTTGACTTGGACTCATACCCCAAAGACTTGAGACTCAAGTTGGACTTGAATTCCAGACTTGAGATGCTGGAGACACGACTTGGACTCACACCCTGGAGACTTGTGACTTCACCGCATTTGTTGCTCAGAGACACAAGACTCGACTTGGACTCGAATCCCAGGGCCAGGGACTCTATACACGACTCTGATTTGAATCCCAAAAACTCTGGACTCGACTCAGACTTAAATCCCAGAGACTTGAGACTCAGCTCAGACTTGAACCCCAGAGATTTGAGACTTGACTCGGACTTGCACAAATAACACGTGACCCTCTCTGACATACACCGCATCTATTCTAAACCCTTTAGCCATGTGTTTGTCTTCATGCTCATGAGTCGTAAAGGTGAACGAACACACACATTCGCAACACACCACTCGCTATGCTTTTGGTAAAAAAACACTGCTGGAGTGTGCGTATGTGCGTCTACACTCCAGGCAAAGAGTGATAAAATTAGACTTAAAGCATTTCGTCTTAACACACCTGACCTTCTCTAGGCGAGTAAGAAGCTCCTCCAGGAGATGAAGACTATTCCTCATTGCCAATACTTCAGCTCCACTCTTTTTATCCTGAATGTGTGAAACAGTAGAGGAAAGAAAAAAATCAAACTAAGATGTGAAAGAAACAGAAACACTCCTTCTGAACAGCGTAGATCTCTTGGAGATGTGCCCTCCTGCAGAGTTTACTTTCAATCTATAAACTAACACACCTGATCCAGCTCACCAAGGTCTTCAGGAGCACCTGAATGCTTGAGCAAGATGCTATAAACCGTTTGGAAGTTCTCTCTGTGAAGAGTCTATATGAGCAGGGTTGGAAATATTCCATATCCAACATTTCTTCTGAAGTCAAGTCTGTCCCACCTTTGCCCCCTCTCCTCTTCTGCTGGATGCAATGTTGGAACATTGCTGTAAGGACTTGCTTGCATTCAGCCAAAAGAGCATTAGTGAGGTCAGGTACTGATGTTGGATGATCAGTTCTGGATCACTCCAACTCATCCCAAATGTATTGGATGGAGCTCCATCACTACAGAGAACACAGTCCTGGCACTGGGCATGGTGACCTTAGGCTCTTGTGCAGAGTGCCTCACTCTGCTGTCACTGCTTTTGCATGGTAATTGTTATGTTGCGTGTGTTCAACTGAACACCTGTGTCAGAGACTCGAGACTCAACTGGGACTGACACCTCAGAGATTTAAGACTCATCTTAGACTTACATCCTGGAGACTCAGGACTTGACTCTGACTCAAAGCCCGGTGACTAAAGACTTGACTCGGACTCACAACCCAGAGACTTGAAAACTCAAGAATCGCCTTGGACTTGAATCCCAGAGACTCAAGACTTGACTTGGAGTCTCATAGTTTATAGATGCAATAAGTGCATCTTAAAGTCAATGAATTCACTAATTAGAAGAGGTGTCTGCACACTTTGGAATATACAGTGTAGTTACAATGTTTTGATATGACGGTGAGTATATCCTTAGAAAGTCTGTGCATATTACTCTGGTCTTATTCAGTTTACACTGACTTTCTACGTTACACATTGACTCCAAGGTCTTGTGTATGGCATTCAAAGTCCTTAATGGCCTAGGTCCAGCATATTTAGCTGATATCTTGAGGCATTATTGAAGCATCTTCTTCTTACATAGGCTCTCCGAAATAGTTTTCCAGAAATTATTACTAATGCTAGCTCTATACGTGCTTCAAAACACATTTGTTTAGCTTGTTGGGTCTCTTCTCCTGTTATATTCTGCCATTCGTAGCCATATGCTGCTATATATTTCATCCATTTACCTGGTTTAAAAACTAGCTAAGATCTTTTCAGCCTGATGCATGAATTTCTCTCTCTCTTTTTCCATCTATCCTATAATCTGTCTTTCCATGCATCCAACCACCCATTCAACCATGCATTTTTCCACTCATCCATCCATCCGTTCATCCATACATCCATCCATATCCATCCATGCATCTTCTCTCCCCACTTTAGTCTTGTTCCATTGCTCTTTTACTCTCTCTCATCCATCACTTTGGGAGGTCTATCACATGGCAATGCCCATGGGTATCTTTGCAGGGCCCCGCCTCCTTTCCCACCTCTGTGTGGTGACAGTGCAGAGAGAGTGGAGTGCTGGGCTGTTTTTCAGCAGGGTGGGCATAAGGCAGGACGGCTGACAGCTTAGTTACACCCAGGACAAATAAGCTGGACGCAGGCCAGAGGAGGAGGATAGAGAGACTGAGGGTAGTTAATAATCACTAAACAGCCGGCCATTGAGTGCTAACATACAGGAGAGAGAGAGAGAGAGAGAGAGAGAGAGAGAGAGAGAGAGAGAGAGAGAGAGACTGTGTCTCTATACTGTGCCTCAACACTGCTAATATTGTTTATGACACAGCAGAGTGAGGGAGAAAGTGACACAGAGAGGGATAGAATAGAATATACACACTTGCATTTAGCAAAAACACAATCTTTTCTCATTAACTTCCAGACTACACGACTTCCTCCCTACTCCCTATTCATTTCACACACACACGACCACACACACACACACACACAAGTGAATGCACAAGGCGTTGCTACTTTCATTCGACTAACACTCCATCACCATGGTAACCGAGAGAGGGGGTGAGAGAGCCCAAAGCAGAAGCAGCAGAGTGTGTGTGTGTGTGCGCATGTGTGTGTAGAGTGTAGGGCTTCAATTATCACGTAAGGAGAATGTGCTCATTGAGAGGGCATCTGTTAGCAAAGGGTCTCCCAGATGTGCAGCCAGGCCACACATACACACACACACACACACACACACACACACACACACAGTGAAAGCCACTCTCTGTGTTATAATAATGCCAGTGACAACGTGCACTAGGTTCATTAACTTCACCTGGACACACAGGTTGGCTCCCTATACATTAACATTGACCCTGCTTTCACCTGGTCACTTCTTGACTCCTGAGTATCAGGACAGTATCTGGATAAGGCTTACCTACATAACAATGCAGGTGTAAATGAACCCATGATGCAGTTAAAGGGCCCATCTCACACTTTTATTGTATTTCTTTCTTCCCCTGAGGTCCAATTATAACGTCTGTGTGGGTTTATGCACTAAAATCAGTCCTAATTCATTTTAACATGACCGTTTTCCAACCTCTCTTTATGCCCTAGAATGAAACAGGATATTTTTGTTACTGTGCCTTTAAGACTGATATATTTTTGCAAGTTCAGATCATGCCTTCAACTGTTGGCGGAAGTATGAGGGAAGACTGATTGAGGGTTGGCGGGGATCTAAGAACTTGGGCTAAAGTTCTGGGCAGCTTCTGTCTGTAGCTAGAAGGCCAGATCCCCCTCATAGCTATAGTACGACTGATGTAGGACTGAAGAACAGGGAGGAGATGGGGTGGAGGTGGGGATTGCGAACACTTCATCATGGGAACAGAAGGTGAGGATGTGAATTTATAGGGTGTTAGATTGGAAGAAGGAGGAGTTTCAGGCATGTTCCTCCCCCCAAACTTCAGTTATAACATAACTACATTAAATGGACTCGGTTCTGATTGTCCTGTATTGTGCCTTGTTCAAAAAAGCAGTCTGGACTGAAAACACTCCTTATAACTTCAGCATGAACGGGCGGGGCTAAATTGCTGTAGGCTGTATAGGTGGATAGATGTGTTCATCACAAAAGCAGTACATTCCAAACAGACCACTTTTGCAGCTTAATTTTCATATATGGACTGTATGGACGGGGCACTGAATGGTATGTTTTGAAACTTTAACAATACTTACATACTTCATCAAACTTTTTAACATACTTCAAAAAAGTTGAAAAACTCCTGTGGGCCTATAAAACAGATTTAAATCCAATCCCTCAAACCATTTCAGGTGGTTTGAGGTAAATTTTAGCCAAATGTTATACATATGCAAATCCGTCCATCTCTCAGAGCCACATTCAACAATCAAAACCCCTCCCAATACTGCGATGGTGCCTCCCCCTGCTGCTCTGCTTATGGTAAAGAGACCACCTACTTTTAGTTTAGTTAATGATACAAGTTTCTGCTCTAAGTTTAGCCTACTTTGCTGGCTTTAGGTCAATCTAGTTAGCTTAACAAAACTGTCAGTTTTGTTAATCTTTACTTCGTCTCATCATTTCAAAGTCTACAATACAATGTGTTTTGACACTCGTGGTACATGACGACTAGTTATTATAGGCAGTCTTGTAGACATGCTGATGTAAAGAAATGGACAACACATGCAAAATTGTATGGAGCCCCGCTGGTGACACCTCATATAAATAAAATATTGCATGGCTTTACTTAGTAAGGCATGGGAACGGGATCATTCCTTAATAAATCATGGCCACTCTTTAGAATCTCATTCCCACGCATTAATATAGCGTGGCCACACATTATTTTTATTTATACAGGATGTCACCAGTGGAGCTCCGTAAAAATTGTGATTTTCTTTTGAATAGAACAGAAAAACGAGGAGCAGTACAGACACTTGGTTGTTGTATATGAGCCGATTTGCATATTACGTGCCACACAGCAATCTGGCTAACCAGAGATGCGTATGCTATTAAATCTCAGGTTACAATCCAGATACTAACCACCAGGTGTAAACGGGGTCAACGTGTGTGAAGAAGAGAGAGAAAGAGAGAGAGGGCGAGAGACCTGACATACTCATGTCTCATGCTGATCATCCTAGCATTACCTGACTATATCCTGATCAGTTTTGCTGTAAATGTAAACACTTGATTGAGCGGCTTTTTGAAGACCCTGTTGGACGAACAGCAGTACAGCATATTAACAGTGCAATAACAAGAACGTGGACGTACCAGAGAGCTTAGGTAGTGAACACGCACACACGCACACTGAAGAAAGTGATGCACTGAATTTACTTGATTTTCATGTTTACATCATTCGCACATTAATAAAATATATCACATCGACTCTTCTTTTGTCTTTCAGTTTGCTTACGTTTGGCCATAACTGTTGATTTTTAGCACATGATGTTGCCATATGGCAACAACTATTTTTTTTGTTATTTTTTGCCTATGATAAAGTAATTTTTTTCTTTTCCTTTCGGAAACTGAGAGCTGATCACACGCCGTCTTGTTGTGTTTTGAACTACTTTTTCATAGGCACACCATATGGCCAAGGCAGACCTTTCAAGCTTTCTCAAAGTGCGAGTATAATTCAATATACACACACAACAATTTTACGAAGAATAAATAAATACAATCTGTGGGAGGTTATAACTTCTTTTCATAAATAAAACCTGCTTAGATTTTATGCATTTTATATAAAATGATAAACTATAATTACTGTTCCCATTTGGCAACAGCATACAACAACGAGGCTGCAATCTGCAATGGGACTAAATGAATACACTGTCATATGACACACTGGACACTGCTATTTGCACTACCTTTTGAAGTCCAGTAGCAGCGTATGGTTTACTCCCATTGTATGCATTGTAGATTGCAGTTCCACGGTCACATGCTGTTGCCATATGGCAACAAAAAAAAAGAGAAAATCATACATTTCACGCACTAAAAGGATAATATATGTTATTAATGTGGAAATGATGTACACACTTGAATCAAGATTAATGCACTACTTTTTTTCTCAACGCAACTCACCCAAACACTCCAACAACAAACTAACAAGAAGGACCCGAGGAAGAAGAGAAAGAAAGGAAGAAAGAAGAAGAGGAAGAAGAAGAAGAAGAAAGAAGCTGTACAGATATGTGCTCGTCGGCATGGAACACCTACAATAAACACCATCCAGTTCTGGTAGCCTGAATGTTTTGTTTGCTTCTTCCTACAAGTGGTTTTATACACAATCCGTTCATATTTCTACAGCGTTCGGCTCGAAGGCGGCCAGGTATTTCTGAAGATTGTCCTTGTGGGCTTTGTTCGTCTTCTCAACGTGACTGAAAGCGAGCTCCTCTCCTCATACAGAGCGTAATGGGTCCACCATGAGTCCAGTATCGTCCAGTCAATGCACGCTGTTGCCAAAAATGCAAGCAGAAGAAAAGTATATACATACGTATTCCATTAGGCGGCACCTTCAATATGAAGGTTTACTCTGGAGATAGATTTATATTTATTTAAAGATATACACACAGAAGCTATCAGACGGACGTCCCTCGGCAAAAGCCGGCCATCTGTAGATCAACAGGTAGTGATGCTGGGAAGCGGAAGGACTAGGAGGTATAGCTGTCTTTCGTTTCAATAAAAAAAAAGAAGGAAATAAATATACATGAAAAAAAAACAAGGAAAAAAAGGGTTGTTTTTCCAAATATTACATCCTTGATGGTGATTGGTTCATCTGGTGGTTCATCTTCGAAATGTGTGAATGAATGTTAAGGAAATTGGAAGAAAAAAAACAAAAAAACATCTTCTGTCTCTGTACACATCCTTGGTATTAGAAATGGCTTGATTTATGTTTTGATTTCTTAACAGATGGAAAGATGGACATCCTGTATGTGCAGTCAAATGGACAGACAGACAGGAATCCCTGTTTTGTTCTCTCTGGACAGACAGACGGATCACTATAGGCGTGTCTCTGTTTATTCCAGCGTTGGTATGAGTTGGGTCCGGTTCAGATGACCCCGCTCTCTCCGTGTAGGCCGTTCAGATCAGTATGATAGTCTCTACTCTGGCGCGCTCGGACGGGGTGGGGCTGACCCGCTTCTGTTTCCGGAGCAGGCTGCCCGGCCCATCGCTCGGCGCCCCCTGTAGTCATGCCAGGGCAGTGGGGGACTGGCACTGGTTCATCTGCATGGACTGGATGTTACTCAGAATCTTCTTCTGGTGGCCAGCCAAAGTTACACCTATCCTCAACAGATCTCTGTGCAGAGGAAAGCGAGACAAGAGTCAGTGAGAGTGAGTTTCTTCATTGAGTTTAAACAGTGACTAGAATTCAGTGCAACTTTGTCTTCATTTCATGCATGTAGAAGTATATAAAGGGATGAAACGCTGTGTTTCTGAAATACAGCTTGTATATATGTTTTAATACCATGTTTGCGAGTTTTTAGACTGTGCCTTTACTGTATGGGGGTCGTACGAGGGGAGTCTGTGTGATTGTGGGAGAGGACAGAACTCTGGGAACTGGAGTTTCAGGGTGGCTTCTGCTTAGAGCTAGAAAGCAGAATGGTGGTAAGACTTACAAACAGGACTGAGGAACAGGGAGGTGACAGGGGTGGTTCGGAGGAAAACTTTGTTACAGGAAATGAAAGGTCGAGATGGAATTTAGAGGTCATTAGATCGGAGGAGGAGGGGTTTCAGGCATGGTCCTCCCCCATATTTGGTTTTCAATAACTCTATTACATGTATTCACATCTATCTATCTATCTATCTATCTATCTATCTATCTATCTATCCATCCATCCATCCATCCATCCATCCATCTCTATAACACTGTGTATGATATATATATATATATATATATATATATATATATATATATATATATATATATTATACAGTGTTATATATATATTTAGACTGTATATTATATTTTTAGACTGTATATATATATATACATATACACACACATATATACATATATATATACACACACATGTATACATATATAGCCTATACAATAACAAGTAACAAACTGTAACCTTATTGAGTGATTAATAAGGTTAATACTATGTTTGTCTCTTTTCTGGAGTGCCTTGCTATCACTTTGCTGCTGTAGCACTGTGAATTTCCCCGGTGTGGAAGTAATAAAGAATTATCTTATCTGTACTTCATTTCTAGCTTTTATTCCATTTATTTATTTTTATATAATATATAAAAATACATAATGCAAGAAACTCTACTGAGGCCGCAGCCTCACTGCCAGTGGGTCCCTGTTTACATGACATTAAAAATACATACAATTATGAATAATGAAAACACATCAATAAACCACTAATCCATAGAGAACGTACCCCTGCTAATACAGACACTTGCAGCACTAAGTGCACAGAATTATTAAAGATATGTTACCACCTCAAACAGTCACGGGCTTTACTGCTACCTAATAACATCCTGCTGCTGCTGCTACAATAACAGGGAATAAAAATGGTAGTGGTAACAAATAATACAAACAATATTTATTTTATTCATTTTATTGAGTCAAAGGAAACCACCTGGATGAATTAGGGCTATTGTATTATTCCCTAAGCACTACAATGATTTAATTCAAGAGTTCAGATCCAAACAAATGCAGACTTCTTCTACTTTTTACAGCGTAATTTTATAGAGACTTTTGGAAGGTCATCTTTGTCACTGATCTGTACACTGTGACCTCATATTTTATAGGCTTTTAAAACCTTATAACTAAATGGCAAAGACACTGGTTCTATATAGAACCATGAACACTCAAAGAACTATTTGCATGATTAAATGGTTCTCTGTATGGTTCTTCAAATTGATGGAGAATGTGTTGTATATGTTTCTGAAAATGGTTCTATATAGCACCAAAGAGGGCTCTGATATTGTTATGATGTCAAGCTTGTATCAACAGCAGAACCCTTTTTGGTGCTATATAGAACACTTTTCAAAAAGGTTCTACATAGAACCACATATACAGCACACTCTCCATCAATCTGAAGAACGACTTAATGTTGCAAAAGACTTTTAAAGTGTGCAAATGGTTCTTTGAGTGCTCTTTGTTCTATATAGAATCACTGCGTTTACTAAAGAACCCCTGAAGAACCATTTTTTTAAGAGTATCCCTTATTGCTAGAAAGCAAAGTCATAACAATCCTTGGTATTGCTAGCAAACCATATATGAACTGTGAACCGTCAATTCTAGGAGGCAGATCCATCGGGTTAAAATGACCGTTCCAGTGTTTACTTAACCTTCTGCAGCGCGTTGCCTCCTTATAAGATAAAATTGCTTAAATATTACAATGGATTTTTATGCAGTTATGTGTAAAACACCACATATTTTGTATAAGTGTTCACCACTTGAATTCAGCAACTGCCCATTGGCTTCTGTTACAGGTGTATTTCTAGGCGTGATCTTTTCTGGGTACTGGCTAACAGATCGAAATAAGTGTCTGAGGTAACTGACCCTACGCTACATGAATGGTGCGGTCCAATCGGGACACAGCTGCCTAAGTGGGCAGCATTTTTACGGCAGCAGTTTTGCTATCCTGAGACAAAGACTGTCCCATTTGGAAGGCAACATAAGTCAGCTGTCTTCTAAGGTGGCTTACGTTGCATGAATCTTTCTTGGAAAGATCAGTCAAGAGTTCCATCACTTCATTTTAGAAAAGACAGAGGATGGAGCGGTCATTTCTGCTGACTGTAAGTCAAGAAAAGACTTCTGCCATTACTGTTTAGACTGATTGTCATATTTGTGTAAAATATTTAACATATTTGTGTTTGAAGATCACTGTACATCTTTCCTGTGATTAAATTTAGGCATTTTGCTTGTCTATCTCAACCTGACAGGCTGCGTTTGTAACTCATTAGGTGAAGCAATGTTAGTAGGCTTAGCTAGCAGGCTAGCTGTGTAAACACACTAGCACTTCGGTACAAGAGAGAGCTCAGTTTAAAATACTGTCTGTTCACTGTTTAGTAGCGCTTTTTGTCTGTAAACAGTTTAATGGTTTGACTGTAAACTCCTCGGGCACTAAAGTAACGGAAGTGGAGAGGCGTTGGCTGAGAGGTTGAGGAAGAGAGGCTACTACAGGGGAAAACTGTGCTAAACGGCTGGCGGCAGCTCGCTTTTCCAGCGCATGTGGGACAGAACATGGTTAAACCAGTGCTACATACTGATGTTGTCCCTGAACGATGTAAAATACTTTAACTTATTTGATGACGAAGTTCTGAGATAAAATGTTTTTCTAAATAAATACTGAAAATGCTACTTTTTGCCTGCTCTGTTTGTCTAGTACCGCTACACTTTTCACAGTCACATCAATGTTAGGTGAATGTCGAAGGCTAAATTTCAGAGCAGGAGCGCATCAATCAGGTGAGAATGCATAAAATCCTTTCTGTCTGAGTGCATGTTGTACGAAATGAGCAGTTTTATCCTTTGAGGTGGAAATAAAGCGGAGGAGGACAGTGAGTGAAGTGAATGATTCACAAACTAGTAGTCACGATTATCTGTATTTATCTGGGGCGCCAAGTTGAGCACATAACGGCAGATTCGACTCCTTAAAGCAGCCTGTTTTTCATACACAGCAGATTCCTACAACGGCGTCAAGGCAAGGAAAACGGCTGCTGCAGATTTGGGAGCCATCCTTATTCACTGAGGTAATCCACCTTTACAGTCGGAGGTGAGTGACCGCGAGTAAACAGATAAAACAGGTACAGCGCAGTGAAACTTATGATGCATGATGGCTCTGAAGCACTGCCCCGAATGTGATGCCTACTAAGGTTTCTTTTCTCTAAAATGCTGCCCAACAAGAGAGTCACCTTTGAAGGCAGTGACTAGTTAAGCAGCTGCCTCCAGAATGGACTGCACTAAAAAGATTAAGACTGTGTTAAGACAGCAACTGAAGTCTTCAGCAACAAGTTTTATTTCCTCAGAGCTGATGAGTCACTGGGCGAAAGATGGGGTCACTTTTGAAACTGTCCATAACCACAACTCCCCCAGTGGACTCTCTGCTCTGAATAGTCTTTTATCCAGCAGAATAAGCCCGTAGGGTTTCTAACACATTAGCCAGATCAGACCCACTCCTGTTATCACGGAGGTACCACTCCAAAAGCCCACCTGGAGCTGATCTATTCATGTGCTAACAACTTTACATATTCAAATGGCACTGAATTAAGAGCAGAGAGAATATAACCATATCACAGCCTGGCTTTCGCTTACATAAAAAATGGAGCGCAACACTAAACAAACGATTATAGCTGAAAAGCGAGAGGGACGGGCTTTGTTCTGACTAAGTATGTGATGTTATATCACACAAGGCATATGAGAGAGGAAGAGAGAGAGAGACATGGTAACTGCACATCAATATAAAGAGAGACAGAGGGACTGAGATGGATAAACAGAGACAAAGAGAGAGAGGGAGAGAAAGAGAGAGAGAGAGAGAGAGAGGGATGAGAGAGCATCAGAGGGAAGAGAAATAAGGCCACCCACTCCTGACTATGAGAGCAGATGAAAGCCGTGTGTGTGTTTGCACTGCGTGGGACTGCACTCCTGTAAGTAATTAAAGGGGATTTTCACCAAAATTCAAAATTTTTATATATGACCAAAAGTTCGTAGACATATGCAACGGAAACAAGCTGTAAAGGGTCTTAATAGGGAGTTTGTCCTTTTTTTATTTTTTTTGCAGTAACAGCCACCACTCTTGTGGGAAGGCTTACACTAAATGTTGGAACATTGGTGTGAGGATTTGATTGCAGACACAAGAGCATTACTGAGGTCAAGTAGTGATGTTGGATGATCAGTTCTACATCACTCCAACTCATCCCAAAGGATGGAGCTCCATCACTCCAGAGAACTCCAGAGTGTCCAATTCTGTCAGCAATGCACTGAATTTTCTATAATGTTCACACAATTTCTACATTAATAAAATCTATCTTTCAATTCACTTACTCTGGACTGAAACTGCTGATGTAGTACATTTCATTATGGGAAATGAAGTACATACTCAAATCCAGTAAATTCAGCTGGATACATAATGGAATCAACCTTTGCCACTATAGTGTGGTTCTCACTCCCTTCAAATTATGAGAAAGTTAAGGCTAAAGGGAACACATTTCATTGCTTTCCTGTCTGAGACGTCCCCAGGTGCCATCGGTGTCTCGCTGCAATAAAAATGCCTCAGATGTGAACAAAACTTGTGTTTTTTTTTTTCAGCAAGAGGATTTCAAGAGACCCGAAGGCTAAAGTGCTCAGCGCTAGCAGTCGAAAGTGCTTGATAAAGAATAGCTTTTTTCCTTCACAGTAAAGAGAGTGTGATAAAACTTCTCAGGTTTGTCACCTACACTTGATTATCTAGTACGTTAACCTCTCAAACTGCAGGCCTATTATTCAGTCATTGTTCAGTTATTAATCTTAGAGCTTAAACGAGTATGCTGAGAATGTCACGTTCTTGTGTTGTTCAGACAGACATTTCTCAAGATTCACTCCAGAGACTGTTTTTATTCCAGATAAAGGACTTTTTTTCATGAGAAGTGTTTTTCAGTTACTCTGTATGTGTCACAATATTATCCATCTTATTTTGATCACTCTCTTGGAGCTTGGGGTAAGAAAATATAACTGCCTTACAGCAGGAGCTAGCCAGCCTAAAGTGCAGCCTCCACTTTGGGGGTGGTGGGTGTTTTTAACCCAGTGTTACGACTAACGCTACGTGTCCACTTGCACTTTTTTCTGGATATCTCTGCTCACCGCTGGTGAGCGTTTCTATGTCGTTATGGAAATGTAGGAACCGCACTTAACATATATGGGGCACTAAAAATCTGATACGCTGTTAGCTAGCTTCCTTAGCAAGTAACCTACGAGCTCTGTATGGTTTAAATTTTGCCTTATTGCTCGAACCATGTAAACTTCATCCAATCAAACATCTTCTCTCCAAATCTTCACCCATCTTGTCAGTCGGTATAAAATCTGATTATTTTCATTATTATGTAAAACTGTCATGGATTGAGAGAAGAGAAAGAGAGCCATACTTTCCGCTCTTTAATCGTTCGTGATGAAGACCAGTCCACTGTTGCCTGACTGCTTAAATGTGGTCCGGCGGCCGAATTCACTGTAACCATCATGTACTGCGCAATGAGCTCCAGCTCTCCACTGAAATGAATAAGGTGCGGCGAGGCGACGTTGCATGTGGACACATACTGTAAGCCTCCCAAAGCAAACAATTGAAGCCATCCATATCCCCCCATAAGTTCAAAATGTTTAATTTGTTTGAAACTTTTTGTTCACAGATTCATCAAAAATACATTTAATGAACCGGCAGTGTTTGACACAGCCTTTTCTCACTAATCATATTTTTTGACAGATGTTTTTGTAAGTATTAGGACTGGAAAGCTAATTTGGCTCAAACAACACAGAACTGTATTGAATTAACTGAATTTGTGTCATTTCACCAGACTTTTTGAATGAATTACAACTAGACCCTCAGTCTGTCACAATTAACTGCCTATGGGGCAAACATTTTCATTTTCATACAGCCGAAATGTATATTTTCATTTGCAGCAGAGATGTGTAGGCTGATCACTTGTATTTGAAGAATCCAAACCCCCTTACTGTACCAGAGGAACCAGCCTGTTGTCTGGAGAAGTGAAGTTTATTCATTGCGCGCACAGGTACCAGACACCCAGCCAGCCCGTAAGACATTGGACTGACACAGTTTTATAGGTGGACTGATGCCAAGACTAGACCCAGCTTATACACGACAAGCAACAGGTGTGACAAACATGACCATGTAGGGGTAAACACAAAATAGGCAGCCTAAAATACAACTTCAGCGCATTCACACCCAATACAGAATATATAACACAGCACATTTCACAACAATAAATTCCTTCATATTAAAAACACAATCTTGCTCAAATAAGTGTGAAATTACTTAGCAAAAACTAGAATCTGTTAGTTTATGTCTCGCCTTCACCTATTATTCAGTAACTACATTGAAACTAGTAAGTTAACACAGTGTGGGCACACTTACGGGCCTTGCAGTTCACGAGGTCAAAAGGGTAGCCCAGTATAAACTAGCCATTTGTTACAGTAAACAGAATCTCCTTCGGTTGACGGTGATGGACGATGGCCACTCTAGCACCACCAATCTGTTATCTGGATTCTCCAGGATTCAATGCAGCAGCTTCAGCAATGCCTACTGCAGCTTTTTCGTTTGTAAAGCTTCTTTATCTCATTTTCTCCTCAATATATTCAAGCCCAAACTTATACGTCTAAATGTTCCTGCTCATAAGCACATCAAAAAAAGGTTCATTATCAGCTTCTATATTGATTGCATAACTGTGGGCAAGAAAGAATGCTTGTAGTCCGTTTACACCAGGAAAAGTAAGTCAGCTTGTATTAGCAGTGATACTACTGTAGCTAGGAACCTCACTGGGAGCAAGAGTGTGACTCAGTGCAACAAGGACAATCCTTATCACGCATACTGGGGAGTAAATGCAACTGATGAAGCCAAATTACTTCAGCAAGAAGTATGAAATCAATCCCCTGTTCATTTTCTATAGATGACAACTGAGAAACGTTTTGGCATGCAGTAATAGGGTTCAGCTTTAAACACAGTAAAAGCACTGACAGCAGTAAGCAGGCCAGAAACACTCTGTACCATTCCACAGTGCATTAGGACAAGTACAAATGCTTTTATTACTGTTATTTTGGTGGAATTCCCCTTTAGGCCCAGGTCCACTGATTCAGTCCTAGTGCATTCAGCCTCTGACCTTCATGTGACATCAGCAAACACATGGTGTCATATATTTTAACATCTGTTGTGTTAAATATGTTAAAAGTAACACAAAATGTGTTGCATTATACCTGTATAGAGTGCAGCCAGGAATGTTCAAGGGGAATTCCATCCATTTTCCAAAATTTCTACATAATTAAGTTGTTAAGAGTACTTTTTTTGAAATGCATCGTTCTAGAGAAACTTATCAAGTCAGAATTGTTCACAGGGTTGGTAAAAGGAATCAGACATGTGAAGAGCTTTATGCCGCTAAAAGCCCCCTCACAGAAAGCTATTATATGAAATGATTATAAATACACTGCCTGATACGGAAGTCCAGAGTGGCCACGACCTGTTGCTATAATTTTCTGGATTGTTATCTTGAGATAACAAGTTCATTATTGTGTGATCTTAAGATAACAACTTTGTTATCTTGAGATCAGAAGATAATGAAGGCATGATCTCAGGATAACAACTTTGTTATCCTGAGATCACACGATAATTAACTTGTGATCTCAAGAAAACAACTCCTGTTATCTTGAGATCACAAGTCATAACAACTCTTGATATCTTGAGATCACAAGACAATTAACACGTGATCTCAAGATAACTCCTGTTAACTTGAGATCACGAGGTAAGTCATGATCTCAAGATAACAACTTTCTTGTCTTGAGATCACAAGATAATTGTCGTGATCTCAAAATAACAACTCTTATCTTGAGATCGCAAGATATTTAACTCATGATCTCAAGATAACAACTCTTGCTATCTTGAGATCACGAGATAATTAAGTCATTATCTCAAGATAACAATCCAGAAAATTATAACTACCTCATGGCCTCTCCAGACTTCCATAGCCTGAAGCCTGAGACATTGTTTTATGAGGTTTTCAGATAAGCTTTTAGCCTAAATCATATCTTCAAAAATATATTCATAGTGGAGGCGTATATGTAGGACATTACACACATTATTCTGAATTTACTACTATTTTATCATTCGTAACATTATTTATAAAACTTGTAAGACATAGTTTTTCTGTATATTTTGCACTGCAGACATCATGACCCTGGCTTTGATCAATGATCACCAGCATTGAAAAGAAATCTGCGTTCTCTATAATGCACCATTTCACATTAAACCACTCTGAATGACTGTTCACATCTCCATGATTGATTTACGCAGGAATTCGGAAAAATCGGTGGAATTCATGTTTTTCGATTCACTTCTTTGACTGGGGATTCTTTGCTCTCCTTGGCCTCTCCAAGGTTGCATCTTCAAATAGCAAAGCTTGCCTCATGTAAATCAATTAATCTGCTCAAATCCTTTCTCAGTAAGTCACATGGTGCTCTTCTCAAATGCATGGGTAATCCCTACACCTCCACACAGCCACAGCCATTCTCTATCTATTAATAATTACCATCTGTCTCATGTTTTCTGATCAATATGATTCATCCAGTGGAACGTGAGAACACACGGAACAGGAGAAAGCTAGCTTTTGACCTGAAAACCAGAGCAACAAATAACTCCACCACCCTTTCCATTAAATGATAACACTAAAACCTGCACTTCTGAACATTTTTGGTCTGATATGATGGGTAATATGCTTATGTCAGTGTTATGTCATGCTGAAGAAAGGTGACAGACTCACTCAGAGGTCATTTGAGCGACCAGCTGGAGCGAAGTGAAGCCGGAGTTGAGGAAATTGTCTCTGTACTGCGACATTTTAATGGCCGACAGCCAGTCCTCCACTGAGCTGAAGGTGTTGAAGTCGGGGATGGACCTGTCCAGCAGCGGCTGAGACGGACTGCGGAGAAAAGAAAAGAGAGAGAGACGTATAGCATATTTCCAGTACTTTAAAGGGTCTCTGAGCTGAGTGTTTTCTAGAGATGATAGATGGGGCCAGCAGGAGGGGGAACAGTGTTCCCCCCTACAATAATAGAGAAACTCGCATGCTGTCCAGCTTGGATGAGATACAGATATTAGACTATAACTCGCAGGCTAGTGTTTGCTTACTAGTATTCGGTTTTATGTCTTTAAAATGATGTCAGAGCCTATTCTGATTGAGGTGTATACATGGACATATTCTATTCCAATTGAGCTATTAGTCGGACAATTAGCAGATTATCAAGCTGCACGTAAATGTGGCTATTGTGTGGCAGAGGCGAGCTGGTTTGTGCCGAAGGAGCAGCGTAGTCCTCTAGCATCTTGTCACAGTACGATTTATTTACAGAATTTTATTAAAACTGTTATTTTACAATTCAAGGTATGCGTTTGGGGTGGTTTTAGCTTTAAATCTGTACTGTACTCTTTGAAAAAAGGGAATAAAAAAAAGGAAACCCAAAGTGTTCATCCTTGCCATGGTATCAATGAGTGAAGCAAAAATGTTCTCTTTTAAATTGTAAGATGAATCATGCCAAATATGAAAAGGGCACATGAACTAATACAATGAAAAGGCCAATTCTGATTTCAAGTTGAAGGAAAAAATGCTAAAACACTAATATGCCACTGCATCAAATGGTTAACTGGATTGTGTGGTCATTTTTCTAGTCTTCTTCTATATTCTGCTTATTGCCACTCTTCTTACTTTCTGATACTGCTAGATTTGAAATATGCTGACACAATGCTAGACCCTGTTTCTCTTGACACACTGTTTTCTATTTCTGTGACTGACAAACCTGCAATCCAAGCACCTAACTACATATATTCTTTCACAATTTATAAGATTTCTCATATTGCTTCAGTGAATCCAAAATTAAAGTGGCTTTGCAACAGCACTACAATGGATAATAGCATCACACTGAAAAAAACAAGCAAGTATATTGCTTTTTAATTTAGTCTTTTTTATTAAGTTATATCATAGGTTGTTTTTATTGGTTTCTCTACCACAGATGTAAACCACACCTTTAGCCAAAATGTGATGTTTTAATGATGAAATCTTTCATCTATACGAATCATGCACTTGTTTAAGACTGTGAAAGACTTGACAATAACACAAGATATTTGAAGTTATCTGTCACACCTCGGACGGATTCGGACTACGTTTCCCAGAAGGACCTGGGAAATCATGTGGATGAGCAACTTCTCTCGGACTCGGAGTCCAGAGCGGACTCCATTGCACATAATCCCTTGGGTGATCACATGACTCATGACAATCGCTCACGCACCTGTCAGCGTTCCCAATCACCTGAATATTGACTATGAACACCTGTGTTTTGAATCATATGACTCTCTGAGAATAGTATATCAGCCCGGGCTTAAGTTAGAGTATTTGCGAGGTATTGCTTCTCCGGAACTTACTGAGCGTTTTTCTGATCTGTTTATGAGTGCTTGTTTTCGACCCACGTTTGTCATATTGACCTTGATTTTTGCCTACTCCATTTGTACCTCTGCTGATTCTGTATTGGATTTGTGTTTTGACCTTTCTGCCTGCCTTTTTGACTACGATTTTGACTTTCTCCTTGGTTTTTGTCTGCCCTGTGTTATGATCACTTTGGTGATCTTCTTCTGCCTTTTGATCAAGACACACGCTTGTTTTTCAACCACGCTTTTGTCACCTGATAATAAAACACTGTTGGCATTTTTCATCCGCCAGCGTCTGAATTCTGTTGCTGCGTCACAATATCAGTCTCTAATCTCAGTGTCAAGCTATTGACTTAATATATGCACCTTACATATACAATGTACATTTTGGAGATACAAGGTTTTCTTTGGACAACAGTGATCCAGTGGGTGCTGTGGGTGAGACCAGTTTAAAGTTCTCTTTCTTCTAAAGCTCTCCTGAAGGCAGCTTTAAACCAGAGCTCTGTGGCTCCAACAACAAACTTACTTATGAGTGATTTAACAGTTTTTGACAAAATTTGAAAATACCTGTTGCCGTTTACATTATATGTAAAGTCTATAATGAATGGACCAAAAGAAATGACCCAAAATGACTTGGAAAAAAGTCTGGTTATATTGACTTACATTAAAAGTGAAGTATGTTTTTTGCTTCTCCTGTAAAGTTACCATTTTGGAGATACAAGGTTTTCTTCTGACAACAGCGCTATATTTCGAGTAGTGCTTGTACTTGTGATCTGGTGGGTGCTGTGGGTGAGACCAGTTTAAAGTTCTCTTTCTACTAAAGCTCTCCTGAAGGCAGCTTTAAACCAGAGCTCCGCGGCTCCAACAGCAAACTTACTTATGAGTGATTTAACACGATGAGCAAGTCCCTTTATGGACCGTCAGATGAGTATTTGAAGTTACCAGTTTGTAATCTCAGTGTCATGCTATTGACTTGATATATATACCTTACATACGCAATGTACAGATTACTGTCTTTTGGGAAAAATCACTTTCTGCCGACTTTCCATACACTATGAGAGACATCTGTATTCTGTAAACATGCTTTTATGTTGATGGTCCCAGTACAAATTTGTCTGACCACTGCAATGACATAATAAGCCTCTTTTACGAAATACAACAACTACAGTGGACTCTGTCAACCTCACACCAACTGAAAGTGTCCTCAACGATGGCAGGGTTGCCTGGCAACACTATGCCTGTCAGGTGTGTATGGTGGCAGGTGTAGGAATGAGGGGTCATCTTTTACCCTTCATCACTTCATACCCTTCATAATTCACTCATCTGAATTTGCATCTCTGGTGAACTTTGCCAGTCTGGGAATGATTCAGTTTACTGGACAAATTAGTAAAATTCCAGTCATATAATGTTATTCCTGCTAATGCTGCACAGAACATACATGGCGTTCCATTGTGTACATTGTAATAAGCTAATCTAAACACTGCCTACTTCATATTCTCCAATGAAGAATAAAGCTCTAAACACAACAGATCTGTTGGCATGGCTGCTAACATTTTATTTATTTTCACCGCGGCTGCTAACTTAAAGGGGAACTCCACCGATTTTTTTAATATTTTGCATAATTAAATAGTTATGATGTAAAGAAAGACACTAAGAAAGGCATTTAATTTGGTGTAAAAACTTAGTGTCAGAATTGTTTACAGTGGTGGTGATAGGAACCATACGTCCATCTCTAAAAGCTCCCTCAATGAAAGCTTCACAAAACAGTTATGAATATATTGCTTGTTGACAGACACTGTGTTATGATAGTTTTGTGATAAAGTTTTGATCTAAAACATATTTTAATCAGTGTACATGAAGGGTGTTCTAAGGCAAAATAGTCCCCAAAGAAAACTTTTTTCAGATTGATTATTTTACCATTGTTAATGGTTAGTAGTTACGCCAGAAACACTTCATTAATCATTAATACGCAGTTATAACACATTAATAAAAACGTGCGCTGTTATATCTGATGAATATGAATATGTGATGAAGCTGACAGGTTTAATGCTGACTGATGGAGACAAAGTAAGATCAGTAAACATCAAAATCTGAAGTTTGACAGTATAAATGAATAAGCGTTCACTGTTAGGCAAACAGCAGGTCACGGTTGCCCTTTTTATTTATGCGTTGTAAATGCTTATTAATGATTTTAAGGTCTTTAAGACCTAATAAATAACCATTAATAAACTCATTATAAGCCATTCATGAACGATTTATAAGGGTAGTCTTATTTTAAAGTGATACCCATTATACAAATATGGGTGGTAGAGTATAACGAAACAGAATTCTCTGATGCATAAATATTAAGATAAGGACATGAGTGCACATGTACTGCTGGGATAACAGACAACAAATATAGACAATAAGTACAAATAAATAAATAAATAACAAATACAGAAGAAACTAGAGATACAGAAGAGAACTGGGGAACAGACAGCGAATACAGCGAGTGTTCAGTAAACAATGTTATGAATGTTGTTCTAATGTTCATTACAAGTAAATACAAAGTCAGTCAGCAGTAACATGAAGAGAGTTCAGACTTCAGATTAAAGTGCAATGTGTATATCGCTGTTGTCGGAACAAAACCTCGTATCTCAGTTTTTGACATAATTTGAAAATACCTGTTGCCGTTTACATTATATGTAAAGTTTATAATGAATGGACCAAAAGAAATGACCCAAAATGACTTGGAGTCTGGTTCCATTGACTTACATTAAAAGTAAAGTATGTTTTTGGCTTCTCCTGTAAAGTTACCATTCTGAAGATACAAGGTTTTCTTCTGACAACAACAATATAGCTTGAGTAGTGCTTGTACTCGTGATCCAGTGGGTGCTGTGGGTGAGACCAGTTTAAAGTTCTCTTTCTACTAAAGCTCTCCTGAAGGGAGCTTTAAACCAGAGCTCCGCGGCTCCAACAGCAAACTTACTTATGAGTGATTTAACACGATGAGCAAGTCTCTTTATGGACCGTCAGATGAGTATAAACATTCAGTGCTGCTTGTAAATGATCCAGTAAAGTTTATGTAGACAGAATTTGAGCACAGCTATTAATAACTGTTTGACAGATGGTATACAAGTTAACTTAATGTGACTTGTTATAGCCTAGCTTAGCTATTGGCTACATGCAAACACTTCATTTCCACATTATTTCCTTTTGCATATTCCTACATTCCTGACAAAATACATGGGTAACACTTTATTTTGATGCTTCACCATGGATACTTTTTAGATGCTCAGTCTGTCTTTAAGTAATATTCAACTAAACATCTATTCAATGCAAATGAATTTGAAGTTTAACCTTAACTTCAACACAAAACCTACACCAGCTCCTAAACCTAACCCTAACCCTAACGGTGTTAGTAATCAACTATCACCAGAAAGTTTATTAATAATTTAAGTGTTTGTAGATCATCTATAGGAGACCATCAAAATAAAGTGTGACCAATACATGCAATTTTGATAGAAATAAACATTTTTGAAGCTTTGGTGGTAAATAATGAGGAAATGAAGCAAACATTTTATTTATTTATTTATTTGGATTTTTACCCAGTTTTCTCCCCAATTTAGTCGTTTCCAATTCCACCCACTACTTATGACTCCCCCAATCACATGATACTATCGACACTAGGAGGGTGAAGGCTAGCCCAGGCCTCCTCCGAAACCTGTGAAGCCAGCTACTGCATCTTTTCAGACTGCCGCTCACGCAACGTCATTGGACAGCTGAACGCGCTCGGAGGAAAGCGCCAACCGCCAGATCTGTTACATCAGCTAACAGACGCCTGCGCTGACTAGCACCGCGTTAAGTGATAGGGGGGCCATCCTACCCATCCAGAGAGAGCGAGGCCAATTGTGCTGTCTTGGACTCCCGGCTACGGATGGCTGTAGCATGACCAGGGATCGAACTCGCGATCTCCTGATGACAGGACCAGCGCTTAGACGGTTGCGCCACTGTGCGCAAGCTGTGTGGTGTCAAATTCAGCACCCTTGAAGCAGACTATGGCATTCTACATGATCCAAAGCTGAGGTTTACTTCAGTTTTATCGATCAAAAGAAAGTGAAAATGATGATACATTTAACTCAGGAAAGGAAATCGCTCTTTCACCAAGGGGAATAACCTTGACGTTCTTCTAAACTGACTCGTAAATAATGAACGTATATCATACACACACAAGTTCTTTCCCTGTTGTAGACTGTATTCACCTCTTCGAGTCTGCCTATGCAACAAAAGCTGCAGGTTGCTATCACTACAAATTACTGAACTTGAAAAGCACCAGTGATTGAACTGCATTGTGGTTCAGTGGTGGCAGTCCACGGGTGCTTTCTTATCCATATGCAGAACAGAAACCCTGGAGGGAATTTAATTTACTGGTCTTGTAGAGTATCAACCAGTTAAACATCAGTATATACCCCATAACAGAACTCTGAAACTATGAAACCCACACTATAGAAAAAAAATGTCATTTTCAAGTTTTAAAAAGCTTAAAAAGTTTCCTTAAGATTTTGAGTTGTTTGGATTTCAGGTTGCATAAAACACAGATTCTTGTTCTGTTAATTTACCATTCGAAGTTCAATTAAAGGAGAATTCCACCAGTTTTTCAAAATTTCTGAATAATTCCGTGCTTGAGATGTAAGTAGAGTCACTCAGAGGAGTTTGACAAGAAATGGCTCATTGTAGAGAAACTTGCAGACTCTGACTTCTTAACAGTGGTGGTGATAGGAACCAGGAGTCACCATGACTACAACACAGATATAGCCATTTTATTAGCCAGTGAACCTACACGTGAGTTATTTTATGTAATGTTGATGGTAAAATAGTCATAAATCTAGAAATAATGCAGTTTTTTGAGGACTATTTTGCCTCACAACACACTGCATGTATCCCTCCACAATAAATGGAGTCAAATACATTTTACGCCAAAACTTTATCACAAAACAGTCGTAAAACAATGTCTCAGACATCAGGTAGTGTATTCATAACCACTTCATGTATTAACTGTCTGTGAGGGAGCTTTTAGAGGTGGACATTTGGTTCCTATCACCACCGCTGTGAACAATTCTGACTTGGTCAGTTTCTCTGGAACGGAGCATTTCACACCAAACCACTCTACATGGCTTTGTTTACATCTTAATCATTTATCTATGCAGAATTTTTGACAAATTGGTGGAGTTCCCCTTTTTACCTCATGATTGTAAGGCAGCCCAAACACTTTTTCAACTTATCAAGTTACTCCATTTTTTTTTTTAAAAAAAAGTTTTTTTAAAGAATGTTTTAAAGAATGGCTTTTTAATGTTATGTTTTAAGCTAAAACTTTTCAAAACTATCATAAAACAATGTCTCTGACATACATATTCAAAACTTTCTGTAAGGGAGCTTTGAGGAGGCATTAAATATATGCTTCAGACCTCTGGTTCCTATTCTGAATGACTTTGTTTACATCTTTATGACTTAACTGTGTCAAAATTTTGAAAAATAGGTGGAATTTCCCTTTAACATTTTATAGTGATGTTAAAAACAACATATTTTGTATTCAACACATTTAACCAAGAAAACAGATAACACGAAAAGGGTGTTGTTAATTAACACATCATTTTTGAGAGTGTACATATCCATCTTCAGTGTGATGTCACATCACACTAAATCAGCAGAGCTGGGATTAAAGGGGAACTCCACCAAAATAACAGTAAAAGCATTTGTACTTAATCTAATACACTACTGAATCACACAGTGTTTCTGGCATGCTTACTGCCGTCAGTGCTTTTACTGTGTTTAAAGCCGAACCCTACCACTGCATGCCAACACATTTCTTGGTTGTCGTCTATAGAAAATGAACAGGGGATTGATTTCACACCTTCTGCTGAAGTAATTTGGCTTCATCAATTGCGTGTACCTCCTAATATATGTGGTGAAGACTGTCCTTGGTCTATTCAGTCACACTCTTGATGTGCTTATCTACTGTAATAAGGTTTATTATTCAGTAAACTCCATGGACCACAATGCAAACTGTTATTCTTAAGCTGCAGGAGCTTGCACCCATTGGCAGGTCCTGGTTATTTTAGTGGTTAAGAGAGAGAGTGTGTGTGCGTGTACTCACATGGACGGGATGCTAGCGATGGCCTTCAGGCTGGTTGGGTTGCGGATGAGTTTGTCGAGTGTGTTGACGATGTCAGTGAAACGTGGCCGGGCATTGCGGTCTTTCTGCCAGCAGTCCAGCATCAGTTGGTGCAGAGCGGTGGGGCAGTCCATCGGGGCGGGCAGCCTGTAGTCCTGCTCTATAGCATTAATCACCTGCAGAGAAACACACACACACACTGAATACACATGACAGGAGGCAGAACATCGCTTAATCAGCAGTTCTTAGGTACACTATGTTGTGTAGTGCTGTGATATACATACAGCATTAGAAATCATCACAGAGACTATCACACACACACACACACACACGCACACAGTCCAGTGGTTGTATATATGTGTGTGTATATATATATGTGTATATATGACTTTTTAGTGTTTGACAGTTTCTTGTTGCAGATTAAACGTATCAGGAAACCAGCTGGAGTGATTATAAATGCAAATAGGTCCATTCATCTCCAAATTATCAATGTTTGTCTTAAATCTTTCTCTTTGCCTTATCGTTAGCTAATAGCCAGGTGAGATTGTTGTCTGCGTTGCTATGGTGACCAGCAGTCTGCGCGCCAACCTTCAGGGTTAAAGGGTGAATTAGCAGTTATACATTAACTCCAACGTTTCAGACCAGTTATTGTTAAAACTGTTTTAGAACGACCAGCAGAGCTTTATTTTACTGCAAAGGGGGATTGTTTTATTTTTACCTAAAAAACTAAATCTGCTGTGGAGCCGCAACAGGGCAGTAAAAGAGCCACATGCGGCTCCAGAGCATCACGTTGCCGACCCCTGCCTTAGGCCCATGTGCAGCTGCTCCAGATCATCTCATTCTACAGACAATGCTTTTTTACGGAGATCGTCCAAGCACAGTTGAACACCTGTGTCAGCACCTTAAAGTAGCTGAATTCACTAATTAAAAGGGTTTCTGGATACTTCTGTACATATTACGCATTACATATTCTCTCATTACGTCCCACTGACAGACTGCTCACTTCTTTTCAAGGTAAAGGGATGAAACCTCAGCCAATTGCGTTGAAAAATGTACCTGACTTCATCATCTGCCTTTGAAGAGTTTCATGTGGTGCCTCCTGGTGGGAAACCCAATTTTCCAATAAAACTGAGACCACTTGAAAGCAGCATGAATCTCATTCTTATTTATGTGCACATTCAGGGCTATATTATCACTGTGAATAATTCTCGGATCCAGTTGTGTTGGTGTTCATGCTGAAAGTGATGAGCAAGAAGTCAGCTGTCAACAGAAATGCCTCAAAGGCACAACGAGACAGCATCTCAGTGCAACAGTGTGTGTAAAGCCCTTACACTGGAAAAGACACTTATTTTATGGCTGGTATGCGGCAGCGGTCTGACATGATGGATGGTGGTGTGTATGTGTGCGAGGCAGACATCATTGCTTACTCTAGTGATTTAAACCAGCAAGACGAGCGGTTGAGAGGAAGCTCTGCACTGTATTGAATATGTGAGGGAATGTTTACAGTACAGTGCGTCAGAAAAATAGCACAAAACATATTTAGTAAAAAAAAGACTAAATATAAACTAAATATCAAGTTTTTCAGTATTTAATGTGCCTTTATTACAGCTTCCATTCTTTTTGGCAGACTTGGTATCAGTTTTCCTAAGAAATCTGTAGGGATATTTTTCCACACTTCCAAAGTTCAGTCTTGGTTGCATTTTCTGCTTCTCACGATCCAATTAATCCAAACACATTCAATGATGTTGAGGCCTGCCTGGACTCTGGGGTGGTCAGTCCATTGTTCTGAGAACACCAGTAGCTTCTTTGTTTGATATGCATGTTCTCTTCTCTGCAGTATCTTAGAGCTGTCTTGCTGTAGAAGGAATTTCTTCCAGAAGGTACTGCATGGTGTATTAAAATTCTGTACTCATGAGCATTTCTCATGCCTTCATTTAAAAACAAATTACTAACTCCAGATGTTGTAGCACTAGCACTGATCCTTCACCATGCTTGGCTGGTTCAAAGAGTCTATCATTGCTTCAGCGGTGTACATACTGCCTTCTGTTACTTCCACAGATCGCAAACTTACACTCACCAGTCCATAAAACTTTCCTCCAACTAAAATGTCCAGCTGCAGTGCTTTTTTCCTTCTTTGTCTATTTCTTTTTTTCAGTAAGAGCTTCTTGACAGCTACACATTCTTTCAGACCCAGAGCGTTGAGCTGTCTTCTCTCAGTGGAAGAATGTTCAGAAACTAAATTTTCTCCTCTCTCGCAAAGATGAAAGCTTTAAGTCAGGGGACTCAAACTCACCCACTAAAAGGGCTATATTAAAAAATCTCAACAAATCTGTGGGCCAGAGAGAAAAAAATGTTTTTATTTAATTTTTAATTAAACGTTGTGCTATAACCTCAACTGGCCGTTGTTCATTAAAAATACGCAAAGACTTCAAAAGTGAAACAGAGCCACTTGTAGTAGACCTTGAAATATTACATGATTACTTGAAATATTCAGAATTGAAATGTCCACAGGAGCTCAGTATTTATCAGTCTATTTGCTTGAACTAGACACCTGGCATCCTTTCTTTGCTGCAAGTGCATTAAGACTTGGGCTCAATTTCTGAGCTGCCGAGCTGCCATTAGGTGTTTATATGTATACATTTATAAGGGTCAAACTGCAGCTGAAATGCAGCTAGTGTGTTTGGTGATACGACTGGTGTGGAATTGTGTAGAATTAAGGTGTAACCGCTGTCCCATACATTGTTGTTGGGGTAGGAGAGTCACATTACATTGCAGTGCATGCTGGGGACTGTAGTACAGTGTATTGTGAAATGGGATAATATTAACAGAAGACTGAAATACTTTTGTGTGTAATTTTGCAGGTCAAATAGGATTGAGCCACAGGCCTTGTGTTTGACACATGGGCTTTAAGTGCTGTTTATCTGATGGGAACAGCTTTGCTGTCTACCAGGTCTTGCGCATTGTTAGGAGTCTCATTTTCTCTGTAGCTTTTAATCATTTTTTGAACTTGATTTTTTAAATGTTCTTGAACTCATGTACTCCAGCTGTAACTGGTTGGTTTTAAGATAGAAAGGTTGGAAGAGTTAAAAGGGCAGTAGATGTACACAAGCAAAGAGTTGACAAATTAAATACTGAGAGATTTGATCTCATACTTAGTGCTGGAGTCCGGACACCAACATCGTTAAATACATACATACATACATCATCTAAACCGCTTATCCTTCTGGGTCGCGGTGGGGTGCTGGAGCCTATCCCAGCTGTCATTGGGTGGAACATCGGTAAATATATTTGGGATAATTTGGAATGTTAGAAGAAGAAAATACAACCAACGTCCAAGACTGAACTTTGGAGGTGTATAAAAATATCTTTCTTTAAAAAAACTGAAAGTGAGACTCCTGAACAGAATGAAAGCTGTAAAAAAGGTACAGAGTGGACACACTAAACACTGAAAAATGTGATAAATGAGTTTTCTGGTTTTGTTCTGACACTGAAAAATAAATAAATAACAATGGGGTGGTCTCTGAGTTTTACACAGTACTGTGTCTGTCAGTGTAAGTGAGTATTTCCTGCTCCTTTGTGTGAGGCAGGTCTGGTTGTGGTGTGTCGTCTGGCTCCGAGATGGTAACATCTGTGTGCTTGGCTCAGCTCTCTGGAGCTCAACACACCATGGACAGCTGGAGACAACATACACACACAAAGACCCCCCCCAAAACACAAAAGCAATCTCCCAACACACACCTAAACACCCCTGAGACACAAACACACACACCAGACACACTGTCCACCACCGAGACACAAAGAAAAGCATAAATCAACACAAATGCACCCCTGTTTATTGCATGTACCCCACCCAATACTCTCTCCAATTATTTACACACACACAGACTTGAACACAACACAATCAATACACCCCTTTTCTCTGCTACATTCCCCACAGTCCCTTGTTCCAGAGCTATGATGCGTTACATGAATGTAATATTGTTTTTAGTAAAACAGCTGTTAGACTCTTCATGTTGTTTGTTATGTGCTGAAGCAGGGGGAGAGAGAGAGAGAGAGAGAGAGAGAGCGCAAGCTTTCTTCAGTTCTAATATGTTTCTATTTAATCAGAAATATAATATAATCCTCATATTGAGCTGTGTTGAGTTGTATCTGGTGAGAATCTGGCTCGATATTTAAACATGTTGATAACTGAAGCATGTTGCCTGGCTTCACTCCACGCTCAATGAAATTTAGCTGTGTTTAGCTTACATTGCAGTTACACTAATGCAAGCCTGTATTTATTAGCCTATAGATCAGTGGCTAGGCTAGTAGTCAGGATTGGTTGACACCACAGGGTTTCCCAATTGTTATATGATACATTTGCGTAAAGCATGCTGGGTATTGTAGTGAGAGAACATTTGTAACTTCTGTCAAACTGAGTCTGAGGGATCCAATGCTGCACTATACAAGATACTGCATAACTCAACAAGGAACATTAAACTCTAGTTTTAGGCTAGAACTCCCCTTTAATCAGTGAGGACCTTCCATTCATTTACGAATTCATGGAACAGCTCTTTTAAATTGAAATTAATGTATTGTGATTATTATTTATTATTATAGTCACTACAAATGACTGTCCTAAAAATATTACATTTTTATCATCCTGTTCATTTTCTATTTATCATTTATTTTATATTTAAGGCCAGACACTACAGGCTTAACTACAACGTGCCTTCTCCTACCTGTACACATAAAAAACATCAAAACTCAGCAGAAAAAGTTTACGGCTCCACTTAGACTAACAGTTAAAGTTATCAATTATAATGCACACTTTTTTGCTGCCCACTCACAGCACAACCAATAAAAAGCTTGTTTTCTGTCAAATCCAAACAGACTATCCTAAATTGACTGTTTCCTTTGTACTAAAGACAACATTCACACAAACGGTGCATGTTTCCTGAGCTCTCACTGAGTGATGCAGTGCCCCGTTCTTACAACTGTTTTTCTCAATATCAGTATTTTTCTACATTCAGACTCACAATTCTTCTAGAACACCTAAATTCATGAAATGCACGTTCATTCCTAACCCCATTCTGAAGAATATAACAGAAAGATTTCCTAATAGATTGCTTATAGCTGGATTCAGGCCAGATTATATGCAAAAATGTATAATAAAAAATGTTTTATAATAAACAGTGCACAGTGTTTTCTTGCATAAACAGTGAGATTTCAACAATCTATGTAAAATCCTTTCTCTGAAGTGTCTTCACAATGAAATAAACATTTTAATTCTAATATCACCCAAAGACCAGATTTGTAGTATTTAAAAATATGCAAATGTGTGCATATTTAAGTAGATATCATCTCATTTACATATCTTGTTATACATCTCTTGTGTTGCAAATCTTTTATAAAATACTTAATAAAAGAGATTTACTGTAATATCTATTGCTTTAAAAATTACCCTATTCGTCTGTAGTGTCTCACCTTCAATTGTTATTGTTTTACTAATTAATCAATCTTGCTGGGTAGTTAGTATATTGATGGAAACCTTGTGGTTGTGTATGTGTGTGCACTGCGTGTGCGGAGCTACTGTACTTGTGAGTGGACACAGATGGCTCTCCTTTACCCGCTGTTAGCTGTTCCAGCTGGAAAGCTTTCAACTGACACACACACACACCGACACCCACACACACACCTACTGACCAGCACCATGACTGCTCCCTTGTGAATCATAACAAAAATACTGTGCTAATAAAACTGGACTAATATTATTGCTATTATTGCTATTGCTATTATTTTTTTTAGAGTCAGCTATTCTATTTCAGGATGATTAAACATTTCAACCCACAGCAGCACACATGCAAAACATTTTATGCATTTGAGGAACTGCAGCCTATTTCCTGATAAAGCCTTGTTCTCATGCGGAATTCTTTCTCTGGCTGTGTCAGAAACTAAGCTCATATTGCGCAATGCCAATGAGTTACAAATTCTGCTTCCTATGATATTTAGTCCTGATTTTCAAATATAGGGAATGACATTTAGGAGACAATTTGTATTCCCTATAATAGTGTTCTATATAGTGCTATGGAGTTTCCAATGTAGGAAACAGTAATTAGTACTATTATGGAACAGTTTCCATAATAGTAATAGTGTCCTATATAGTTTTGTTGAATTTCAAAATAAGGAATGATGATTAGAGACAATTCCGGTTCCCTATAATAGTATTTTACAGTGGTCCTGACTTTCCAATGTAGAGAATGATGATAAGAAGATCATATATGTTCCCTATAATAGTGTTCTATATAGTGCTGTAAATTTCTCAATATAAGGAATACAATTAGGGACAATTCCGGTTCCCGATAATAATGTTTAGCAGTGTTCCTGACTTTCCAATCTTGGGAATCACAATTAGGAGACCACCTCTCTTCCCTACAATGGTGTTCTATATAATGCTGTTGATTTTTCAATATAAGGACTGATGACTGGGGACAATTCCAGTTCCCTATAATAGTGTTTTACAGTATTCCCGACTTTCCAATGTAGAGAAGGATGATTGGGATATCATTTACGTTCCCTGTAATAGTGTTCTATATAGTGCTATTGATTTTCCAGTGTAGGGAATAGTGATTAGGAAATAGTTTCCATTTCCTATTACAGTGTATTTGTTGAATTTCAATATAAGGAACGATGGTTTGGGACAATTCCGGTTCCCTAGAGTAGTATTTGTGTTCCTGACTTTCCATTGTAGGGAATGACGATTAGGAGATTACTTATATTCCTTATAATAGTGTCCTACACAGTGCTGTGGAGTTATTCAATATAAGGAATGGTAATCAAGGACAATTCAGCTCCCAAAAATAGTGTTTTACAGTGTTCCTGACTTTCCAATGTAGGGAATCACGATTAGGAGACCACCTCTGTTCCCTACAATAGTATTCTATATAATGCTGTAGATTTTTCAATATAAAAAGGGTGATTAGGGACCATTCCAAATCCCTATAGTAGTGTTTTACAGTGTTCCCGACTTTCCAATATAGGGAATGATGATTAAGAGATCACTTATGTTCCTTAAAATAATTTTCTATATAGTGCTGTGCATTTTTCAATAAAAGGAATGGTAATCAAGGACAACTCAGCTCCCTAAAATAGTGTTTTACAGTTTTCCTGACTTTCCAATGTAGGGAATGACAATTGGGAGATCTGCTCTGTTCCCTATAATATCGTCCTAATAGTGTTTCAGATTTTTTCAATGTAGATAACAGTGGTTAAGGGACCACTTTGAACAATGTGTTTGTGTTTGTATTCAGGAGTTCTATGCAGCTCAGTTCTGACATTGTCCAGTTAGGGGGAAGAAGATAGATAGACCCTGCCTGCAGGGCTAACTCACGTCTTGGTTGGACATGTCCCAGTACGGCCTCTCTCCAAACGACATCACTTCCCACATGACGATGCCATAGCTCCACACGTCACTGGCTGAGGTGAACTTCCTGTACGCAATGGCTTCTGGCGACGTCCACCGCACTGGGATCTTCCCACCCTATGAAGGAGGGGGAAAAAAAAACAGATGGACAATGAACAGAGGAAAGAATAGACAAATACTACAAAGATAAAAGAAGGAAAGAAGGGAAAAGAGTGGAAAAGAGTGTTTTGTTATTCAGATGAGTCGAGTTTTGCTGACAACCAAGTGCGTTTACAGGCCATTAAGTCATCTATATTTTAACTGTGCAAAGGTACAATGGGGGAAATAAGGGATACACCTTTATTTAGCATTTCCACAGGGAAATTTCCAGCTTTTCAAGCACACCAAATGGATCTTTCAACTTTGGAAGGTAGTTTAATATCAGCCACAAGAATATGTATTTGCAAACAATGAGTTCAGATTTGCATAATCTGTAAGAACGCTGACTCAGGTATCTCTATTTCACAGCAGTGACCTGCTGAGAGGAGATTACTGTTTAAACAGCTCTTTTACTCCTAACACATATACACACACACACACACACACACACACACACAGCCTAGGCCTTTTTAAAAGTTGAAGTGAACCTGAAAGGGAACCACCTGCAAATGACATTAGTGCGTTTTGTGTTCAAGATGTTAGCAAACTTTAAGGGGGGCTGAATTCTTTTTGTGGTCTTCTTTAGTACTGATGACATCTCAGACCCATCAAAACTCAGACCTCCCCGTGTCATGACAAATTTCAGAGTAATGTCGTTAAAGGTTATCACCCGTCAGATCTCACTGGCTGCTCAAAAGCCGTGGTATTTCAATAGCACCAAAATCCTTCAATCACTCCAACACTATTAAACGACAAACACTACTGTTCATGGAACTGTCTTTGATCTAAATGATCTTTTATTGAACATTGTGTTTTATTATAATGTACTATATTTCACCCTGTATCATATCATATATACACCATATATTATATTCTATCAACACTTCATGTGCAATACTCCATATGCAATATTCCATTCCATGTGCATTATGTGTAAAATATCCTTTTTTTGGCTTTTTATTTATAATGGTTATATTGGTGATTCTGTGAAGGATAAAAGTTTATATTATATCATTTATATTATATATATTGTCCAGACCCCATGTGTCAAACACAAGGCCCGTGGCACAATCTTATTCGGCCCACAAAATTAGTTTAATTTTCTATTAATATTAGCCCATTTCATCATGAGCTGCACTACAGTTCCCAGTATGCACTGCAATGTAATGTGTGCTCCCACCCCCTTTCCAACAACGATCTATGGGACAGCACCACAAAAACAACAAAGACATCATCTAGTTTAAGCGAATGGGCAGTTTTAAAAAAACCTGCTGCACACTGGGGACATTTAAAGAGGTTTAACAGTTTTCTGCAACTAATTTAGTCTATACAATGACCAGCTGGGGTCATGGCAAAATGTTAAGTAAAAATAAAATAAACACACAGCTGGCCCACTGATTTGTTCAGATTTTTTAATATGTAATTAACATAATTAACTAATTAATAAGACTAATACCTTGTTTGTTATTCTCTTCTTGATGCTTCTTTTCTTGAGTGCTACCCCTTTGCTGCTGTTTTTTCCCCAGTATGGGACTAATACAGGATTATCTTATCTTATATTGTTTGTAACCATTTATAAAAGCAATTAGCCATTAGAGGCTGTGTGTTTCAGTGATTTCACCACAAGGTTGCCCTGTGCTTAGCGTAACCTTCATCTAAGGTAAAATCACTGTAATACGGCCTCTTGTGGCTTACTGCTTCTATATGCCAGTGCTGCTGTCTCTTCGCACAAACTTTCGATTCTGAACACGCTGTGTCTACAGTGCTGACATAAAATTAGAAGCAGAAGTTTCTGTGATGGTCTCGTTTTCAACCGGTTGCAAGTGAAAAATGGTAAAAGGTGGCCAGTTCAAACAGTAGAAACATGGACATTGCAGATATTACAAGTTCTCATTTTCCACCTTAAAGCAGCTCCAGACTGTAGACGTTTAGATCACTTTGTTACCTCCTGAATATGCGCCTCACTGCTGCAGCATTTGGATAATGTTTGTTTATGGTGCCTCTCCAACAGTGAAGTAAACAGAGTGCAAAAATAAAACGGATCCAAATTGGATCAGGCTTATTTTTGCTGATACTTGATCCATTCACATATGTCTGCATGCCCGGACAACCATAAACGTAACACCTTTATGGCACAAAATAAAACATTTACAGATATTTCATTACTATAAAACTGTAATCTGTTTTAAGACTTTATAAGACAAGTACAAATGAATATGCATGCACAAGCACACACATCCAAACACTGGAGAAAACACCTTCCTGTTTGTCAAGTGATCTTACTCATGTATGAATGCAGTGCACATTAACACAAACAAAGGGGCGCACACACACACACACACACACACACACACACTCCTTGCTGCTAATTAGTCCCAACACCCAGGTGTTTCTGGTCCAACGCCGACGCTATCCCACTATCTCTTCAAACCATAAGCACCCTCGTCTCACCGTTCTTCTCTCCATCACTCCATTCCTCTCTCCTCACTCCTCTGTGCTCTCCCTCTTCTCTCTGCAGCTTAAAGAACAGTTTGCTCTTTACTCATAACAACTCACTCCTTTTCCCTCTGCTCTTCAGCAGTGTCTATATCTCACACACAGTGTGTCTGTGTGTAATTGGTCTACCTGGGCCCGAGGCAGCGCGCGTGTGTGTTTGCCTCGCTGATTAAAATTGACAGCAGCTTGTTTAGGATTCCACACACACACACACACACACCCACACACACACGCAGGTGTGCAGGTGTTTTGAACCCCCCCACACACCCCTGGTGGCTTGTGCTTTGTATCTGAGCTTAATAAAGCCAATTAGTTCAAGCGCTGCATTGGCAGATAAGCCAGGCTTGAAAGTAAAGTGAAGAGGGGACGAGACCCGGCACACACTCTCCTCAACGCACGCACACACGCACACACTCTCCTTAACACACGCACACTCACTCACCCGCACACACACACACTCTCCTCAACGCACACACACACGCACACACTCTCCTTAACACACGTACACTCACTCACCCGCACACACACACACTCTCCTCAACGCACACACACACGCACACACTCTCCTTAACACACGCACACTCACTCACCCGCACACACACACACTCTCCTCAACGCACACACACACACGCACACACTCTCCTTAACACACGCACACTCACTCACATGCACACACACACACTGTCCTCAACACACACTCACACACACTCTCCTCAATACACACGCACACACTCTCCTTAACACACGCACACTCACTCACACGCACACACACACACTCTCCTCAACGCACACACACACGCACACACTCTCCTTAACACACGCACACTCACTCACACGCACTCTCCTTAACACACAATCTCACACTCACTCTCCTCAATACACATACGCTCTCCTCTACACACTCTTCAACACACACACTCAACACATACACACACACAAACACTCTCAACACATACACACACACGCTCCTCTCAACACACACACACGCTACTCAATACACACGCTACTCAACACGCACTCTCCACAATACCCAAAGACATTAATGCAGAGAGTTAAAGAGAATAAAATGCATAAATAACATTCAAAGTGATCCCGTCACCCAAAAATGGTCAAAAATTGTACATTTGGTTTTTGACTAGAAAAAAATATTCAAACATTCTGATAAAAAATAACAGAGATTAAATTGTCCTACAATGAAGTGTCAAAATCTAAAAACAGCAGCATGCAGCCATGAAATGTTGCCATGTGCACAGTATCAACATATACTGTATACTGTATGCATGTATACTGTACACGGTACCTGTATACTGTATAACACATACTGTACCAGTACATACAGTATACTGTACCAGTATAAACTGTATACTGCATACTGTACATATACTGGAATATCTGGCCAGAGCAGGGTCGTCCTGGTGTATTTGGCATACTGGAGATATTCATATTGGTCACATACTGCATACTATTTACTACTTTTTAGGCACAATCAGTACATGAGCAGTATGCAGCAGGCTATTTTAAACACAGCCAGAGAGTCTCTGTAAGTCTGTGTGTATGTGTGTGCGTGCCCCAGTTATGAGGCCACACTGATGCTGCTTCTGCCCCTTAATAGAAGGTTGACCCCTGACCTCTGGTTCTGCTCTTCCTCTGACTCTGCCATTAAGACAAAGGAAAGGTTAAAACCATAGCCTCCAGAGATGCATCCTGTCAGAGGAACTTTTAGAGCCTGAGCGACTCTCAGCCCAACAGAGGCCTTCCGGGAAGTTCATCTACTGCAGCCGTTCCAGCTCAGGAGCTCTGGAGAACCATCAACTGTGAAGAACTACTAAACAACAGACAGAGTGTTTGTGTGTGTGTCTTCATTGTGCGTCGATGTGTGACCATCCTCATCCCTGTACAAGGGTGTTACAACATCAATGTAAAAATGGTTAAAAAAACTCCAATAGCACTCCATTGTTGACTTTATCTCTCTCTCTCTCCGTCTATTTGACCCTCTCTCTCTCACAGCTCTGTGATTTAAAAATGTAAATATGACATTAAGCCTTTATTTGCTAAGAAAAACAGTAACATTCTAAAAAATACTAATATGTTGTGTTGTCACATTAACATATGTCAATGTGTTTGTTTGACCATTTCCAAACCTCTCCTCAGATGGAAACCCAGTTATATTTGCAGCGATCATCCAGTACCTGATTTAGCTAACACACACTTTATGTTAAATCAGATGTGCTGGTGTTGTAATTTGACACAAATCCATGTGATGACTGGAGGCGTCCAGGAGAAATCTGGAAGCAAAGTTTGCTCTTGAAAGTAGACCAGAAGATATCAACTATTTTTTCAAAATAAGAACATGTAGTTATTACCAGTTTTAGTGTATTTTTGTTTATTTGCATATATATATATATATATATACATATACATATATATATATATATATATATATATATATATATATATATATATATATGCAATATTCCCTTCAT